ACACTAGGACAACACAAGGACTTAAGCTCTTTCGAACCCATCCCTTCTCCAACAAATCTTGGACTTGAGACTCTATTTCTTTAGTCTTTTGAGGGTTGGTCCTATAGACTAGCCTATTGGGTAGGCTAGCCCTGGGCACTAGATCAATTTTATGTTCTATCCCTCTTAAAGGAGGAAGGCCCATTGGACCTTCGGGAGGAAATAGATCATCAAGTTCTTTCAAAATAATTTTGACCCCCTTAGGTAGAGTCTCAAGTCCACTAGATGTGGCAGTGCAAGTTAGAGTCCCTGTGCACAATAGGATAAAATAGGGTTGTTTGATCAAGAGATTTTGTTTTGAAGTTTCTTTTCCTTGATCAACAACTTCTAGGGAGAGGACTCCTTTCTCCCTAAATTTCTCTTTATTCCTAGTTTTCATGGACTTTTTTTTCTCTATTTTCTTCTTTTTTTTGAAGTCTTTTCTCACTTTCTCTTTTGAGTTTCATTTGTACTTGATCCTCTGCCACCTGTTGAGGAGAAAGAGGATGAAGCACAAATTTCTTTTCTTTATGAGTAAAGGATATCTCATTAGTAAGGCCATTATGCATGGTTTTCTTATCAAATTTCCATGGCCTTCCTAATAAGATATGACAAGCTTCCATTGGTACTACATCACATAGCACCTCATCCTCATATTTCCCAATGGAAAGCTTGACCTTTACTTGTTGGCCAACTACCAAGTCACCATCCTCATTAAGCCAATGAAGTTGATAAGGTTTAGGATGGGAACTAGTAGTTAAGCCCAACTTCTCAACCAGCCTAGTGATACAACAGTTGCACCATGATCAACTATCAACAATGAGAGAACAAGTATTGTTTAAAACATTACATATTGTATGAAAGATGTTCTCTCTTTGTGATAGGGTACCACTAGGTTGGTTGTTGAGGAGTCTCCTAATCATTAAGAGCTCCCCTTCATAAGGAAAAGTAACCTCCACATTCTCTTCATTATCACTTGCTTCTTCCTCACTATTACTAGAGGAAGTAGTAGTCTCTTCTTGACTACTATAAGTGTCATGCCCCCTCAAGATCATGACCTTCTTTGTGGGGCATTGGGAGGCAATGTGACCTCTTCCTAAACACTTAAAGCACTTAATATCACTAGTCCTAGTCGTAGTGTGTGGAGTGACCTTCCCTTTTCCCTTGTCTTTCTCTCTAGCTAGATCCTTGGAGGGTTCAAAAACTTTTTTCTTTTCAATAGACTTTCCCCCCTCTTGTAATATTTCCTTAGAGATGAAGAGTGGGAGCTTTCTCTTTTAAAAGAGGATTTTCTCAATTTTTGTTGTTCTATCCTTAAACAAAGTTGGACCAAGTCATTTAGGTCCCTGTAAGGTAGTAGCGGCACTTGGTCTCTTATCTCTAAGTTAAGGCCACTCAAGAATCTAGCTACAATAGTAGCTTCCTCTTCCCTTATGCAAGCCCTCATCATGTAAAGCTCCATTTTTTGCTTGTACTGTTCAATAGACATATCTCTTTGTTGGAGCCTTTGGAGCTTATTCATAAGCTCCCTTCCATAATAGGTGGGAATGTGCCTCCTCCTCATGGCACTCCTAAGGTCATTCCAATATTGGATAGGAGGGTCATTATAAAGGTGCCTTTCTCTCTCTAAGGTCGTCCACCAATACATGACATGCCCTGGGAAGCTAAGGGTAGCCAGAGGGACTTTCCTCTCTTCCCTTACCTTGTGGCAAGCAAAGAGTTGCTCAAACTTCATCTCTCAATCTAAGTATAACTCCACATCATCCTTCCCAAAGAATTGTGGGAGGTCAACTTTGACTTCCCTAGGTTTAATGGTTCTTCTAGGGGTGGGTTGATAGTGGTCTCCCATATTTAGACTCTCATTGGAAGAAGAATATTGAGAGTGTGAGCTCCTACTCCTTCTCTTTTGTTTTCTCATATCTTCTTTGAGCTTTTCTTCTTCTTGTTTAAGAAGTCTCAATTCCTCTTCTAAGAAAGCAAGTTGGCCTTCTCTTTCAATTTTCTCCTTCTCTTTTTGTATGGCCTCTTGCTTTCTCCATAGTTTAAGTGAATTTATCTCTTTAGTTAAGTAAGAAAGACTTTTTGGAGTGCTATCACTTTCACTAGGTTCAGAGTCTTGAGACATTTTAAACAAAAAGGTATTTTCACACAAAAGTAGATTTTAGGAAAATAATATTTTTTTGAAGTGCTAGACTTGGCTCTTAGAGGTCTAAGAGTACAAATTGAACTATGGAGGGAGGTGAGCTACAAAGAGCCATTTAATAACCAAGCCTCTTAAAGTAAAAATCTATAAACCCCTTTGTACTTTTCCTTGCACAAAAAGTTTTCACAAAAATATTTTTTTTGAAGAAAATTAAAAAACAAGTGCCTAATGTGTACAATTAATCAAGACTTGAAAACATAAATTGTTTGAAAACATAAATTGCATGAAAACAAATTTTTTAAAACATAAATTGCATGAAAACAAATTTTTTAAAACATAAATTGCATGAAAACATAAATTGCTTAAAACATAAATTGCATGAAAACATAAATTGCTTAGAACATAAATTGCTTGAAAACTTAAAGACAAGAAAACATAAACTAGGCATCTAAAGCAAGTAAACCTATGTGAGAGCTTGGAAAGTACCAAGGACTTCCAAGGACCACTCTCACAAGTACTACATGTATTACCCTAGTTGGAAAACACTAAGGAGAGATGGAAATGCACCAAAGGCACTCCAAGACACTCCTAGAAAGGCCTTGTACAAGAAACGAAAGAAATGAAATGCAAATTTATACCAAATGAAATGCAAATTTACACTAAATAAAATCTAGTGGCTGCACCAACTTTTTAAAAAACAAAATTCAGCCACTAAAATAGTGACAAATTTAGAGACGGATTTTTCAAGGGAAATTTTGTAACAAAATTTTTTGTCTCTAAACTAGTCACTAATTTTCACAAAATTGATTGCTCCTTCAAATTCAGGTTCAGCCACCAACTCCTTGCAGCCCTCACAAGTGTGTCACTCCTCTCTTAGGAATAACCGTGATGTTGGTTATTCCTAGGTGTTTAGATGTCCAAAGCTTTCCTCCAATGGAGAAACTAGCTTCCTAGGCCACCACAAAACCTTTCAATTTTGGCTTCCTTTGTAGCTTGGCCTTCCACAACTTCAAGAAGCACTCAACACACCTTAAGTTGCTGGAATATTTATGCTAAAACTGAAAAGGAACAATTAGGAGAAGCTACACCAAATGGTGGAAAGAGATGAGACAAGACTAGAAAGAATCCCAATAAAATGACAAGCAAAATTAAGGCACCAAAGAAAGTCTAGCACACAAAGGGAAACCTATCAATGACACTAGAGTAGATTACTAAATTAAAGTCTAAGATTTACAAAACAAAATAAGACTCAAAAGCAATCAATGTGTGGATGGACAAAAAATTAAAAGGAAAGCATACACAATGTCAAAAATCGAGAGCAAATCACACACAATTTTCTACTCCTTGGCTTTTTCTTGTACTCTTTTTTTATGATTCTTTTTGTAACTTCTCTTGCACTTTTTCTTTCTTTTGTACAAGAGTTTAATGCCTTTTAAACATGTATAAGTCTCGGATTTACTGAAGTAAAACTGCTGCCAAAGTTTTTCCACAAAACAAGAGGTATACTAGTGAAAATGCTTTTCTAGTGTTTCACAATTTTGTACAAACTTTAGGTCAATTTTTAAGAACTCTTTTCTTTTGTTTTTCCAATTCTTTTAGCACACTAATACCTCTGTTTTGTCTCTGTTTTTATGTTTTAAAAAGTGATTCAAGTTTCAGCCACAACACAAAACTCAAGGAAACCTAATAGGAAAGTGCTTAAAAATTTTCTTGACAAAACTTTTTAACGAGACATAAAGGAAACCTAACTCTAGGAAATTTTGCTAGAACTAATGGTGAATTAGGAACTCAATCATATAAAGCAAAAGCACATATAGGTAGGCCCAAAGATTACAATCAAAACCGCACCATATAATAGACACAAACGACACAAAACAAAATTTTCAACAAGCTAGTATAGGAATTTTATGACATGTTAAGGACTATACATGACTCTAGACAAAACATAAGATTCAAAACCAAAACACATGCTAACAATTATTAATGTCCAATCACAGACTCATGTTATAAGAATTGAGAAGACTCGAGTAACAACAAAAATACACAAGTACAAGAACACCTAAAGTACACAAACCGGATTGATTCAAGATTAGAAGAAACAAGCAAAAATGAATCAATCAATTCTCATGTGACATAAGGATCTATCAAAATATGTATTAGACCTAGATCCATTTAGCAAATACAAGAAGACATGTAAAGGAAGGAAGAGAATACATGAATGAAAAATTATAATATATGTAACTTAAATAAGTAAAAAATTGTATAATTATGATACTTGATGGACTAATGTTTTTTTAATATAATTATGATATTTGAGAATCTAAAATTGTATTACGATATTTGAATAACTAAAACTACTTAATTATGAGAGAAATAAAAAAATAAAATTATACAATTATAATATTAAAGTGATTAAAAACAAATTAAACCTAAATAATAAGACATCTAAACACTTTAAAGTTATATAAACACTTGTCAACACATGTATACCCAAATACAATAATTATTAAATTTAAAATACTTATAATAGAAGTTCTTTGTACATAAAAACTTATTAAACAACATGTTAATTAAATGGTTAATCTAAACCGTCCCTAATCAATAAACTTATACATGCGGGTCAGCCGGTGAAAGGAAGTCGTAAGTAAAGTCATAATAACTTAAGCCACTTCGAATGCTTCGTTAAAGTCTTATTAAAATTAGAAAATAAAACACCAATTAAAAGAGAAATGCTATCTCTTCCTAATAATAATTTTATAGTAAAATATTAATTTAACGTTAAAATAAAATTAATTTGTTATTATTTTGGAAGGGGAAAGGCGAAAAAACAGGTAGTATAAAGTATAAAGTAACTAACCGTAGAGAGGGAACAGGTGCGCAGTGCCGCCAAAGTATCTCTGCCCTAAAAATCAAACAGGGCAGAGAGCGAGGAAGCGTGAGTCGAACATGGGAACCTCTGCGAACACTGTCGGTGGTGGTCGAAGCGCCGCTGTCCCCAAAGACGTTGACTACGCCCAATACTTCTGCACCTATGCTTTCCTCTACCACCAGAAGGAGATGCTCTCCGATCGCGTTCGCATGGACGCTTACTTCAACGCCATTTTCGAGAACAAGCGCCACTTCGCGGGCAAGGTATAGTTACTTCTCTACAAATTCTACTTTCATTTTGCAATTTCTTTTAAACAACAAATGCGTCAAATAAAGCCAGTGAAATGGGTTAGGGATAATCTTCGCTATTGTGTTATAGTAACTTGAGTGTGTTTGTTTGGGTTGTTACTTGTGTTTAGTTGTGTGTTTGAATATAAGATTAGGAGAGTTTTTGAGAGCTTTTTTCGGTAGAGAAACTCGTGAAAGATCTTCTAAACTTGTATCTAAGAATTTGTTTGGATACAAGTTTAGAATCTCTTTTGAAAGGTATTCTACTTAGAAAAAGATTTTTATTTGTAGTAGAGAAACTTTCGAAAGCGTAATGAGACTCTAATGTGTCAGAGATCTTCTAAACTTGTATCTAAGAACCTGTTTGGATACAAGTTTAGAAGCGATTTTGAGAGATTTTCTACTGGAAAATGCTTTTTATTTTCAGTAGAGAAGCTCTCTAAAGTGCTTCTAGCTTGTATCCAAATGGACTTTAATGTGTCGGAGTGATTTTGAGCTGACTTGGTGAGTTGATTTGGGAGAAGACTGTGTTGGATGTGGGTACTGGAAGTGGCATTCTTGCTATATGGTCAGCACAAGCAGGTGCGAGGAAGGTGTATGCAGTGGAAGCGACCAAGATGTCGGAACACGCACGGGCACTCGTCAAAGCGAATAATCTTCAGGACATAGTTGAGGTCATTGAGGGATCGATGGAGGATGTTACATTGCCAGAGAAAGGTTAGAACTATTGGGATCTGTTTAGTTTGTTTGATAGAACTGGTTTTTTTTGTTTCCATTGATGATTACAAAAATGACATTTTGGCCTTTTTATGCCGCATCTTGTTTTTCAAGGATTTGTTGGGGAAGAGAACAACGGTTTTGGTGTTTTTGTGTTTCCTATACAGATTTTTGAAAACAATAAGTAAAGTGAAAACAAGGTGACTACTTTTGTAATTATTGTTAAGTGTAGGAAATGGAAACACATTGTTTTCTTACACTAAACAAGTACATTGTTTTGTGTTTGAAGTAATTTGAAATTTGTTGATTTTCCACATCTATCTTAATTCTTAATTATGCTTTGTTTAATATCATTGTGATTGCTTGCCTAAAATGTTTTTGTATAACTTGCAGTTGACGTGATCATCTCAGAGTGGATGGGTTATTTTCTTCTGCGTGAATCTATGTTTGATTCAGTTATACATGCTCGTGACCACTGGCTCAAACCAACAGGAGTGATGTATGTATTGTTGCAACTATTTTTATGCTAGAAAGCAGAGAAAAATATTTGTTTTAGTATTTTGATGCATTCACATGATTTGATGTTTTGTGGCTTCTTGATATGCACCATTCTACTTGCCTATACTTCCATTTGTGGTTATAGCTTATGTTAAAATCGATATTGTGTAGTTCATTCTTCATATAGCAACAATTCCTTCATTTTCTGGGATTTTGTTGAGATTTACTAGAATATTTTTTATAAATAGATATTTGATTTTATTTCTGTATAATATTGTATATGCAAATTTTAACTAGCAGCAGTTAATTTTTTAAGTTTAGCTACTCACCACAGAAAGAAAACATTATGCTTAATCTCGTTTTTTTTTCCTCTCATGTTTAAAACAAAGAGCAACACACAAGGCACAATGTTGTGTTCTGTGTAGCATATTCTATAGTTTTCAACAGATTTGGGCTAGCTTCAAAATCGATAGTTATTAGTCAATGGATATGGTGCCAAACCTGACATAATGAGTTAAATATAAAACTATTCTATAGCTTGAGACAAAGGAATAAGGAATGCATTGGAGATTTTGATCTGCTCCTATACTTGTATCTGTTCTCGGTTGGTTCATTGTCTTGGCATGTTGGGCTTACCATGCTCTTTTTTCAATCACATTACCAATGGTGATAACTTCCATCTATAAATGATTTGGTTATGGGCCTTATGGCCTTCTGGAGGTATTTGGTTATGATTGTTATGAAAATCCTTAGTCCGTATTATGAGTATTTCTATGGTTTCTTTAGGTGTTATTTATCAATTGGTGATTTAAGAGACTTCTATTTTGGCAGGTATCCTAGTCATGCACGCATGTGGATGGCACCTATCAAGACTGGGATAGGAGATCACAAATTTGGTGATTATGAGTCGACTATGGATGATTGGCACAACTTCGTTGATGAAACAAAAGCCTACTATGGTGTTGATATGAGCACTTTAACGAAGCCTTTTGCAGAGGAGCAGAGGAAATACTATCTACAGGCAAGTTGTATACTACTTTGGTGAACATTAAGTGTAATGGTATGTTTTAAGTGAACTAGTTTTTTAATCATGATGGAAGTCTATCAGTTTTTATAATGAAGTTGGTCTCTATATCTGTTTAAAGTTATTGAATTTGTTGTGGAAATTAAATTTGATAATATTATCATAATTGTTGAAATTGTGTGATGGCTTGTACAAACACAATTCTGTTTTTTACTAGATTCAATGATAATAATTTGAAGTAGGAACTCATTTTTGCTGGGAATATGCTGGAGCGTAAAAGGAGGCGGGTGGGGGCACTTGTAGAAAGTTCTTGATCAAAAAATTACTTTACCCACCCAAGCTTAAATTGAATTTAAGAATTCCTCTTCAGGCCTTTTCATGGTTTGAGAATAAGCCTTCTTTGATTCAGAAGCACTTGCTCCAGTGAAATTGCTGGCACCTTGTCTGCTGCAACTGCAACAGTGTGGAATTGTGTATCAGTGATAGGGCTATAGGTCCGCGACAAGACTAGATGCTGGATTTGGAGCCAGAGGCCAAAGATTTCGAATGTTTGTGAGAAAGCAAGAAGTGGGTAACAAGGTTTAGTGGTTATGTGAACTTGGGAGTTAGTTATGCATGGTGTAGACTCTAGGATAGAAAAAGGGATTTGGGAGGAGGGGGGACTGAGTGGTAAGGGAATAATAAGTTATGATTATTACTTATTGGATGTAATCTTGGACACATAAATTTTCTTTTGAGGAGCACAATGCTTTGGACATTTTCCTTTGGGTCTAATAACTCCTTGACCTGGTTTAGTGATTAATACTATTAATTTTGTGGCTATTCAATTCTACTTGGGGTGTGTGGCTGACCTAAAGAGTTCTCAAGGTGCAAAGCTGAAATAAAAATGCTCAAGGTGCAAGGTCGAGCTGAAGAGGCTCAACATTTTCAACTGTGCTGAACAATATATCACTTGTTGGTCCCATACAAACTAAAATCCCTAGTGCAAAGTGATGACATATGCTCAAGGCATGAGGCTTAGCTAGGAAGGTATATCGAAGTGCAAGATAGGTTGATGAATGGGGAACAATGTTAGGTTTGTCATCTCAATTTTAGGGATTTAACCATGCACCATTTGTGAAGGCAAATCTTGCCATCACATCCTTGGGCTAGGTTAAATCTGCACCACTAGCTCATGTAAATGAATCTAGCCATGTCAGTCCACATGTGCGATGAGAACTTTCATTGTGAGTGATGGTGGATGAACATTGTCATCTTGGCCCCCAGAGGTGATGAAAATCTACGTTGTGAGCGGCAGTGGTTGAATTTGGCAATCTAGTCCCTAGGCACATCCATCCATCTAGATCCTAAAGCGCGATGAAAACGTGCACCACAAGTGGTGATTATATGAGTTTGGCAAACAAGTTGTCATTGCTTGACCTTTAAAACAATTGAGGCTTTGTTATAAACAAAGTGAAAAGTGGCCTTGAGCGAGTAGGGTGAGTAATAAGGCTTAAATGTGTACTTGAAAGCATGTTATGCCTTATATACCAGTAAATGGGGATTTGGTAGTTACCTTGGGCCATGCGTCTGGGCCCAAAATATCCCGAAAACAGCAACAATGTGGGTGAGTGTCAGTGTGAAATTGTGTCGAGTGCAGCAATGAACGATCAATGTTGTTTAATGGCGGTTGTGGGGCCATTGTGGCAATATGTTGTGGCATTTAGTAAAGAGAAGAAACAATACAAGAAGAAAGGGCTGGCCCCCAAGCTAGAGCAACTCTTTGAGCTTCAATTTCAATCAAAAGGAAAATCCTCACACCCCCTAATATTCCTTTATGCCCCTATATTGATTCTACAATCATCCCTCTCCTGTTACTAACTTTTCCCTCACATTCCACTTGTTGCCTAAGGTGAGATTGAGGCCCTGGGTGTTTGGGCCTTCAGGTGTGCACCTTAATAGGCTACTCCATGTTGGGCTGTCGGTTGAGATCCATAGGTCTCAGTTTCTTATCACAATCCCATGTTTGTGTCTACTTCCCTTGTTAGATCCTATGTTGGATCTACATCTTTCTGTTTGACAAACTTGGTTGTTGTTTCACCTTAAACAGTTGTATAAAATTGAAATATATGGGCATTAAGAAAGATAAACTTGAACTGTTCCTTTTATTATGGCATTAAAAGATGCCAAGATATAATATTGAAAGATAAATTATTTAATAACATTGAATTTTGTATTGCACATGAGACTAATTTGTGCCTTTTGTGATTTCTTTAGACATCATTGTGGAACAACCTTCATCCAAATCAAGTCATTGGAACTGCTGCTATAATAAAGGAAATTGATTGTTTAACTGCCACACAGACAGACATAGAGAAAGTTAGATCAAATTTTTCTTTGTCAATAACCATGGAAAACACAAAGTTGTGTGGATTCGGAGGGTGGTTTGATGTACATTTTCGGGTAAGTTACTCTGACATTTTTAATAGCATTGTATCTATCAAATATCATAAATCCTAACGCTCCCCATTTTTACTCACCAGGGAAGAAGTGAGGATCTAGCTGAAAACATGATTGAGTTAACTACAGCTCCCAGTGTAGATTATGGTACTCATTGGGGCCAACAGGTTTGTGCTGCAACAACTGCTGGGTGGTTGATATGTCCATGAAATAATTTGTCACTATAATTTTCTCCAATACAGGTTCATTACTTTTGGGAAGAATTGAACATTATTGAAGCAATAGATGATTCCTTATTTTAACTTCCTCAGGGTGTTCTTGATTTGCTAAAACATTATAAGAGCTGGAAAGCACAACACACTAGTTCCATTTTGACTTCAAAATTTGTTTTAGGACAGGATAAAAAAAAAGACAATGCACATAACAAATTTTTTAAATACCTGATGCTTTCTTCCTCTTCTCAGCAGTTTTATTCTTACTCTTTTCTTCCTCAACCCTCCTCTTCCATCCTTTCTTCTCATTCTGTCTCTCTAGAACTAATTGTACTATGCATGAATCTCCCAAGTAGAAAATAGATCAAAAAGTTGTTATGAGTTATGACTCATTACTTCTTGTAATGTGCTGCTCTGCTTGTGTAGTTTAATTTGCTTCAAATACATCCTTAAAAAGCTTGTTCTTTTGTTAAAATACAAGTTAAATATTTTATAGGAAGGGAGACAGGCAAAGGCTTAACTTTCATACTTTGTGATGGATAGGGCCATTCTCTCTAAGTAGCATTTATGTCATAACCTAGCCTGACTTTTATCAAGCAGTAGGATAATGCTAGTTTCATTGTATATTTAATCATTGGACAGGTTTTTCTCTTGCATCCTCCTATGCATCTGAGTGAAGGTGATGATATAAAGGTTTCTTTTCTAATGAGTCGCTCAAAGGAAAATCATCGTTTGATGGAGGTTGAACTTGGGTGTGAGATTCATCAGCATTCTGGCAAGTTGCTTGCACCTTTCAAAAGCAAGTACTTCATTGAGTGACAATTTGGATTCTATATTCTGGGGACTGCAAGATACAAGGTAGATTCTATTGCCCTTTATACTTGAATGATGATATTATATAATTACATCATATACCAATTGTCTAGGTTGATCCTATCCTTTTTGGTGGAATGTACTTCAATAGTTTCCTTTAACCGCAACAACTTTTTAGGTGTATTTGTACAAATTCTTTTATAAACACTTGTATGAGAAAAAAAAAATGAAATAAGCTTTAGCTTATACATAAGCTAACAAAACATTTTAGAGAAGCTAATATGAGAGTTTATACGAATTAGCTTATGTATATGTTAATTTTATAGCTTTTGGAGAATTTTTTTTTTCATTTTTCCTTATTTTCTTTTCTTATTTGTGTTTATGGAGAAATTTATCTAAACAAATCTTTAATATTTGGAAGGAAATCAGTGTTATTACTGAAGATAACTAAGGACCCTAACTATAAAACTTATGAATCAAGTCTTCCATTTCAATTTGGGAATCAATTGAAGACCTCGGCTTCACTAGAAAGATATTTTGATTATATTTATCAATTGAAAAAATGGTCGCATTTTTTTTTCTCCAAATGTTATAAATCATTTACATATGTCAAGTTGGATTTTGTTTTTTCAACATTATTTATTATTAATAAAAATAGTTTTCAATTGATACCTTAATTGATTTGTTATAAAAAGCATCAAATAATAATTAAATAGCCATATTTAATGATGCATTTTAGATTATTTTTCTCTAAAAGGATACATTTAATGATGCAGTTGGTTTAGCTTAATTTTGTGAAACAATCAATTGCTTTTAGTTTCATTATAGTTTTTCAATTGTTACCATTTTTCTCTTGATCATGACCAGATGTGGAATTGTATGGTTAATGCCTTGGTTGTTTTTGGACATCATTATGTAGTAAGAGGAAAAAAGCAGTTGCGACCACTTACAACAATTACGGTTCTTCCAATTATATATGGTAATGCCTGTGACTCACAAGGACATTTAGCATTTTTCAGTGATGGTTGGATAACGCTTGTGCTGGTTATCTTTACCTGAGTAGTTTCAGGGCAAGCCTCTGGCCCCTTTATTTTATAATGTTTTGCTTAAGTGTGTATTTGGTTATTTGTGGGATTCCTGGTGCTTTTTCTTTTGGCTCTCCATTCCACAATATATTTTTTTTATTTTGGTATTTTTTATATAGGATGAGACAATAGAGTTGGTGCGATCTAATGGATATAGAGATTTCCTTGTTATGGCCATTAACGCTTTTGATATTAGTGCTCAAAGTCATCATCTCTATAGTAAGTTTTATCAGAAATATGTTCTAATGAATTCTTAAAAGTATGTTTTAAGAAAATAATCGCTGACATGGTGTTAACATGACATAACTATGTTTTAAGTACATGGTCGAGTTTGATTTTCAGGTTGTTTATGAGAAAACATTTGTTAAGAGATGTTAGTCTTATAAACATAGTATTTCGAGTGATTGCTTGGTTCTTAGTCGAGTATATAACCTCATTTCATGAATAACCTGCCAAAATAAATTAAGAAAATCTGAGTTATTTTTAGTCGTTATAATGTCAAAATTGAACAAATTTGAGCTTAGTTTGGTTTGTGATGAAATTTTATAATATAATGATTTATAAATCATTCTTCCTTTTATAATGTATTTATGCATTTTATTTAATTAGAAATATAAAAAATAAGAATGAATTTAGTTTAGTACATGTATTGCTTAACCATGATTTTATTCAGAGAATAGTTGTTAGTTAAGGAGAGTGGACAAATGACGAATCAGACTTGACAAATAAGAGAGTTGCAATTATTACATGCTATATATGTTTTAAGAAAAGTGTAAACTAAAAAATAATATATCCTTTGTTTAAAGATTAGTATTATTACTGGTGCCTATGCCCCTGTGATGCACGGAAATAATTAAAGTTTGATTTTGCATTTGAGTAAAATGATCTTAATAAATAATTGTATTGTTTTTTTCCTTCCAATTTGAACAGATATTGCGCCACATATTTTAATTTTATCAAAGTTCTTTTCACTTATTGGAAAGCGTAAAAGCATACATGTATAAATTTGACTTTTAATTATTTTTGAGAATATATAACTCAATTCCTATAATCATTATTATGAATAAAACTCTTGTTATATTCCTTGAAGGATTTTTCCATTGTCCTTTAGTCTTTTATTTTTTTATTTTTATTTTTTTTATGTTTAAGAAATTTAATGATTCTTTTTTTTGGAATCTTAAGACTGCATTGTTATAAAGTTCTTTTAACCTATTGGGAAGTAAAAGTAGACATGTATTAAATTAAGTTTAATCTCTGTTACTAATATATTTCCTTCCGTATGAATTTTAATGTTTTAAAAATAGGATCGGTCATTAAATTTTTTAAGATAATAAGTTACCGAGTTAGAGGTTGAATTGATAGATCATTAATTGAATTGCATGACTTGACTCCTATTAAATTTTAAAAAATATATTTGTTATACATGTTTCATACTTAAAATTTTAACAAAACTCAAGTCATATCATAAAGAAGTCTCTAAAAAAATTGTAGTCAATATAATATTGACAAAACATCTAAAATATAAATTGGTAAATCTTTATAAAATTAGTATATGATTAACTATATAATTTTAAATTAAAAATATATTATAGAAATTATTTAAGTTAATCATAAAACATAAGAAAATATTTGTTTAGTGATCACTAAGAGGTTAAATAGATTCAAGTTCCATCTCTATAAAATTACCTTTAGTTGTATTTTGTGTGAAAAAATACATGAAAAAAAACATTTTAGTGGATGTTTTAAATTGCATGGACGGTGTAACTTTTACTAAGCATTACACCGTTCAATAACTTTATATTAAATGTAAATTTTGTAAATTTAACCGTTAGATTAAAAGTTCTTTACTCTTAGATCATATATACAAAATTTCATATTAATCCAAGATGATTTGATACTTCATTCTTATAAAACAAAATTAACGTAATATATTCATTTCAAAATATATTAAAATATGAACATTTTGATTACCTTCAAATTATTGTTCAATTTTAACAAAATTTGATATATACATATAAAGTGATATGAACTTTGAATCTAACGGTTGGATTTATAAAATTTACATTTAATATAAAGTTCTTGAGTGATATAATATTTAGTAAAAGTTACACTGGTGTAATTATAACCCTCCTCTCTCTCTCTCTCTATATATATATATATGAGGAGGGATCCGTTTACTCCAAGAGTAAGTCTCTACTTACTTCATTCAATAACTTATGTTATACATCAAATTTCAACAATTTACCTGTTGAATTTAAAATTCTTAATACATAGATCAAATATGCAAATTTTTAAAAAATTGAAAATCATTGATACTCTATTTCATTAATTCAAATTGACAAATAATCATAAAATCATTTTATACATTAATTTGAATTAATGAAATTAAGTATCAAATGATTTTCAAAATTTTTAAATTAGTAGATTTGATCTATGCATTAAGAACTTTAAATTCAACGGTTGGATAGTTGAAATTTGATATAGAACTTGAGTTATTGGACGAAATAAATCTACCTAGACTTATTCCTAGAATAAACGAATCCCTCTAATATATATATAATATATATATATATATATGAGGAGGGTTCAAACGATACTGGTATAACTTTTACTAAGTATTATACTGCTCAATAACTTTATATTAAATATGAATTTTATATTAATCCGACATGATTTGATACTTCATTCTTATAAAGTAAAATTAACGTAATATATATTTTAAAATATAATAAAATATGAACACTTTGATTACTTTCAAGTTATTCAATTTTAACAAAATTTGATATAAATATATAAAGTGATATGAAGTTATAATTCAACGATTGAATTTACAAATTTCATATTTAATATAAAGTTATTGAGCAATGTAATAGTAAAAGTTACATCGGTGTCGTTTAAACACCGGTGTAACTTTTACTAAGTATTATACCACTCAATAACTTTATATTAAATATGAAATTTGTAAATTCAATCGTTGAATTATAACTTCATATCACTTTATATATTTATATCAAATTTTGTTAAAATTGAACAACAAATTGAAAGTAATCAAAGTGTTCATATTTTATTAATTTTGAAATGAATATATTACATCAATTTTATTGTATAAGAATGAAGTATCAAATCATCTTGGATTTATATAAAATTTTGTATATATGATCTAAGAGTAAAGAACTTTCAACATAACAGTTGGATTTACAAAATTCACATTTAATATAAAGCTATTGAGTGATGTAATACTTAGTTAAAGTTACACCGATGTTATTATAACCTCTATATATATATATATGTATATAATTATCAAACATATATACAAAGCTTCATGTGGTACAGTAGTGGTGCTTGAACTATCCAACCATGATGTCTTAGGCTTGATTCTCCCAAGTTGCTATTCTTTTAAATATTTTGCTTGAAAAACCAAATTGAGACACTCAGTGTAAGCAAAGTCAAGCGCAATCGCATCACGAGCATGTATCAAGTGTATCGAGTGACACACTAGTCAACCAGCCATAACAATCTAACAGTGACCATCAGTCACTGGTGCGACTCAATGATCAAGAGTGTGTTTGATTTGGCGTTTAAACTGTGTCAACGCCATTCAACTCAAATCAACATCTTTGTTGTTTCTCAATTCTTGCATCGAAAAGTAAGAAAGTATGATTATGTTTACAAAAACACATAGCCAAACATGTTGCAACTAGTTCATAACCAAAAAAGAGAAAAAAGAATGGTCTATCCAAACCATTTTTCTTGGGTTTATAATGGTTCTCACCAGATTGGATGCATACCCGATCCAATAACCAGCCCAACTCAGTTACCTGTCAGGGTTCCAGTCGGTTTTACCGATGGATTCGAGCTAAAATTTAAAACTTTGGTAAATTTTGATAATCGTACAAATGGACTTATCATCTTTTAAATAATATTGTAAAGTTGAAGATTTGATCAAATGTTTAGTGTTCAAAATATCAATAACCCGTGTTATTATATGTAGATATTATATTTTAAAATTATGTTAAATATTCTAAACTGAAAATGTTATGAACATAAACATTTGAATAATCTTAAATATTAATCACTGTGATGAATTTCTTTCATTTTCATGTCGCAAATTAAACATTCAATAATATGCAACAATACTTTGTTGAAGTACCTAAAATTCCAGGAAACTTAAATACTTAATTACATAACACGATAATTCAACAGCTTAAAGAAAATTAAAGTAAATTGTCTTGTGATTTTCTTTCGCCACTCCAAGCTTTATAACAACTCCTTTATTCAATTTGCAGAAATGTTGTCCCTGAGTATGCCACATAAGAATGCATGCCCATATGTTCCCTTTGTAATCAACCAAGTCAACATTTGTGCATGATTTTGAAAGTGCAACATCACAAAACCCCAAAAGCATGGTGATAAAGGTCTCCAATAATTTGGAACCCATGGGTTAAATAGACTTTCCCTTTTTTCTTTTGGACAACAACTTCTGTTTCATTTTCTTTAGGATTACATAGGGTCACTACTTTTGCTTTATAATTATATAACTCTAGTGAAAAAAGTCTTGGGCAATATGATATTTTCATGCATTTGATACAAGCAAATAGGCAATCATCTACCAGACTTATATTTAAGAAGAGTAATAAGTAAAAAATAGTTGATAAAGAAGTAATAAAGCATGACTTGAATTCTTACATATCCTGGAACATATTCCCAATAAAATGTTCTTAAACTTTTTTCTTATTACTTCTAAAATGTATTGATCATTATTTAACATTAGTTTTCTTTCCATGAACTAGTTGAGTAAAGGGATACCATATTTGTTTTGTTGGCACTATAATACAAGATAAGCAATTGAAAAATTAAAAGACATAAGCTACTGAATAGAAAAAATACTCAATTCATTCATAACCAACTAGGAAGGAAAAACAAGATTTTAAAAGAAGGATTCCTATTGATCCTTAAAGATACCAACGACTACATGATCTTAACCATGCACTTGGTTAGATTCCCTATAGTAAAACTTAAAGAAATAAACTGAAACAAAATTCTTAAGCCAACTGGGCTTGTGCACAATTCTTTTGGGCCTTGAGGTTCCCTCTATTGAGTTTTGGTTCCTATCATTAATCGTTGTTGGAGATAGGACTAGGTCCCCACAGACTATTGGGTCTTGCCCAAATTAGGATTGTTGGTGTCATTAACAA